ACTGTGAGAGGCCAGACCTCGAATAGCTCAAAGGTGTGGTTTCGAATATTCAATTAAGAAGTGCGTGAAGACTACATACATGCAATCTCTTCCTCTATATATAGAGAGAGGAAGAGTTTCTGGAGTCTTCCAAGAAACTGTTTGACAAATACGTAACGTCAAAAGAATAGAGTAGAAAAGTGTAGAAAAGGAGAAACCAATTTAGCAGTGGAGCAATGGCCAATGCTGAGCGGGGACTTTGGTCAGTGCTTAGCGAGGGCATGGCCCGAGCCTCCATCATGGGTTCCAACCCTCACAAGAAGTCATATAAGTTATAGGCTAGCTATATTACGTAATCATTTATAGTATTAATAAGAATCTATTATAGTTAGTACGTATTCTTACTGCGCCGTCTATCGCTTACATTACCTAGGTAGTCAATGCTAGTAATATTCCTAATGAGTACTAACGCGGCCGAATCTAGACTTCCTATTCGTCAATCGGACCAGGTAGACCTTTTTCCGCTTATGTAACTTGGTTCTATAGAATTCCAGTGGAATAGGGGTTATAGAATAGAATAATTCCAGAATTATTCTAAATAGAATAGAATATTCCATACCCCCCCTCTAGAATAGAATGGAATTCCAGTTGCCAATCGTTGCCTACTTGATCCTTGATAGCCTCGAAGAGCTAAAACCAAATACAAGACCAACACTTACGAGGTCAAAGAATCATGCTAAAGTATCATGCTTACTTACTCTACAAGAGATTATAATACCGAGAAAGCGGTATCGACGCCGAGAACTCAAGTCGAAGCTGGTTGAAGGTGAGCTAGTTTGACATACGAGCCAAGGGCAAGAACCCGTAAGGTCAAAGATGAAAATCTAAAGTTTTACCGTTATTTCTGGATGAGAATAGAGATAGACGTGTTTTATTACCTAGTTTTTGATTATGTCTTTACCTGGGCGATAATGTCACACTGGTAAATTCCATGTCACTTGTCGATATCGACAGTGGAACTGTATTCGACGGCAAGAGCTGGTGACTTGGCGTTTCCCATATTATACCATGAGAAGAGGGAAGCGGAAAGAAAGGCGGTTTATGCTTCGATTTGGTCAAGGATACAAGATGGCGGTACTATGTAAGCGTCGATAACTCTATTAACGTTGGAGGCCCAGATGTCGAGTCTGACAGAAAAGAATAGTTGGTGCATTACACAGTGGGACCTTGATTGAGATTATATCGTCTTTGTAGAATTAGAAGTTTGGGCTTAGAGTAACCTCGGTCATTAAGTTAACAACGAATCCTCTATTAAGGCCTTTGGTGTTTCGCGGATTGTGATCGTACTGTAATCTTGCGGTAATCTTTTGAGCGGTCTGATTTATCGATAAGTACGACCGTTGGGTCTGAACTTGTATATTAAATGTTCGCCTATAAGACTTTATAGCGCAGGAATTGGTCATTGAATGCTTAGTATTATCCCTTTGAAGGAAAGAGATAGGTAAGAGAGGCGAGCATTGCTCTGTACACGCTATCAAAAGTCATTATGTTAAAACTCTGGCACAAGTAACTTCATTGTCCTATTTCACCTAGTACAATAAGAATTGAAAAGTAACAATTGTTCCACACTTCTCGTAAATTTAAATTAGTTGTGTGAGGTCTTTAGTATAATAACATTTTTATAACTGAGGCGTGTGCAGAGTATTGCCCGCCTCTCTTAGATGTCTCGGCGCAGTTGAATGGATTTGACTCGCTAACGTGTCTGTGGCAGTAAGCAGTTTAAGATATCCGGTAAGTGCTGCTACCTAAATTAGATTGGGAAATTTACATGTAAAAAGACTCTCAGATGAATCTCAATCAAATGATTAGCTAGTTATTGCTTGTAAAACCAATTGAACATCCACTTCTCAGCAATATAGTATGTAATACCAAAAACGAAGGAATTACCCACTAGAGTATAAGTTTATACAGGATCACCTCGCAGTGACGAGAGAAACATTACCGTTTACGTAGATCTCCGATCGTACCGATGCAGCCTTCTCCATTCGTAAGTTTACCTTCTGCCATTTTCGGATCTCGATCCCTACCCTGCGTGAGATGGGAAGCTCCAGATCCCGAACATGACTAAGATGGAAAACATGGGTTCTCACATGACTATACAGGACCATCGAGATGGAATTTTCGATGTCAAAACATGTCTAAACATGTTGTTTCTAGATGGAAAATTACCCCTGTCCCGTACCCCGCAGACCCCGCGGAGAAGGATGCTTGTGTTACACAGGTAGATGAATTGGACGAGTTTATGCCTCTTATTGGAGGTTGAAATGGCCTCGGTAACCACATTTTGGGTTGATTTGGTACAAATGCGAGATCTGATGCCCGGTGACTTCTCATCATAAGGGATTGTGGGAGTGAAGAGAGGTGAAAGGGCGACGAGATCGAAAATGTTGTTTGAGGTGATGTCACTTGAAATGTTTCTGCTGTTTTTTTGGGTAGCATTGGGCTATTTGGGAAGAATAAGGCGTTTCGATTTATTTTGGAAAGTCATTTTACAAATTGGTACTCAATAAGCCGGTATCTGAAGATTGCCTTATAACCTCGAGTCCCTTCACTCTCTCGCAACAACATTCCTTTCAATTCACAGCAGCAATACTTCAAAACTCCAGTCTGCACTACCTTAATACGTCAAACGACAATAAAAAGAACGACAAGAACCATGGCCAACGCCCAGGATGAAGCAACAACACTCTACGGCTGGACAGCAGTCCCCCGCGATCTCGCAGCCCTCATCCAAACCTCTACTTCAATAAGAAACCCAGTACCCGTCTACCCCACAAATACTCTACCCATTGCAAATCCTGTCTCCCAAAAAGCATTCCAACACGCCCGTGCCTCCCTTCCAAAACCCACTTTCCACCACAGTCTCCGTGTCTTTTACTACGGTGTCGCAATTGTAAAACATGCCTTCCCTTCATGGCTCACTCCTTCCTTTGAGGAAACATACTTTATAACATGCATGTTTCACGATATTGGAACAACACCAGAGAACATCTCTGCGACCAAGATGTCTTTTGAGTTCTATGGTGGATATCTGGCCAAGGAGGCGTTGACGGAGTGGGGAGGTGAGAGAGGGCAGGTAGAAAGTGTTGTGGAGAGCGTAATTAGACATCAGGATGTGGGCACGACGGGAACGTTGTCTAGGAGTAAGTGTTTTTTATGCGTTTCAATATCTGTTTAATTGACGAAAATGGAAGCTAATGTGTCGTATAGTGGGTGCTTCAATTCAACTAGCAACACTCTTTGACAACGTTGGTCAAAACCCCGAACTTATCTCGGAAGGGACTATTGAGCACGTAGTAACCACGTACCCTCGTCTTGGATGGAGTGAGTGCTTTGCGGCCACGATTCAGCAGGAGAATGAGCTGAAGCCATGGTGCCATACGACACACCTTGGAAAACGCGATTTCCCCGAGAGAGTTCTGGGCAACAAATTGATGGAGAAGTGGGATAAAACTGGATTGTAGGTTGGCCTGGTGGTTGCAAAAGAGGTGACAGCGAGAAGAGAGGCTGTGGCTTCCATTCTGAGGAATCAAGGTATTGCAGGTCATTTCTATGCTCCTCAGGGCGTAGAGGAAAATCGTTGGTCGGACTTTGCGCTGCTCCAGATCCTGGAAATAATTTGTAGTTGCTCTTGTGGATTTGGACAATTCAATGATTTATCAAACGCGTTCAGATGATTATACCCAAGATGTGAGGGAGTTACACAAATTGACCTAGAGCTTTAGAGTAACCAAGACTGTTACTATTATTGTATTAGTCTCTAGTGAGCGCTCATGTAAATGAACCAATTGTGAAGCCTCATTCAAGTACACTATGATAGAGCACATCTACCGATATATTGTTAGAAGCTGTGCCTCAACCAGTGAAGATAAGTGAGTGAGGAGAAGAGAAATTCCTCACTACGAATCATCTGCTAATCCACGAACTACAACCCACAGATATAGAAAGATCAAAAAGCTCATTTCTTTCACCTTTACTTCTCAGAAAACCCCCTTCACACAGAAGTATCCAAAGGTACTCTCCCTCACCCCTCCTCCTTTTCTAGGCAACAAATCCCACTAAGTGGAACCTTAGTCCTTAAAATTATGAAAGCATACAAAATCCGAGCCTATATCTTAGTATCTACAAATCAATTGATCCTCTCTTTTAACCAAAGAGTTATACATTATATATACAGGTAAAAGACGTGCGGGTAGTTATTCCTTTATAATCTTACATACCTAGGCAACCTAGACTAGAATACTATTAAACAATCTATTATTCTGCTCCTAAAAGCCATATATGAGGAAAATAGTCATACTATCGACTAAGTTATTTTGCACTCTCGACTCGTCTTAACCGTTCGTCTTAACCGTATCCTAGGTTGTTATTGACACGCTAAAGTGGCGAGAACAAGGTATATCAAGAAAGGAAGGCACGACTCCCGATCTCTCGGAGAATAACCCTGGGTTGCTGTCTGCTACAAGTACGACTATTGTATCGCTTCCAATCTCATTACTCACTTGGTCCTCTTGCGGAGATTTTTGTGTCCATGGAAAACCATGTAGATGCCCTAAACTGTAAAATAAATATTAGAGCTGCAATGCATAGGAACTGGGAGGAGTTGAAGAGAATCCCGGACTGCGAAGACTGAGAAATGGTGTATTAGAGACGCATTGCATTCTTATAGACCATAACTGCGAACATCTGATTTCTCTTCTTGGTCTTCAACCTAGCATTTCCATATAAGCCTTGAATCAACTCCTCGTATGCCATAAAATTCATAGCTGACCCCCCAAGCTAGCCTGACTATAAAAGACATCTAACTATCTTATTTTTCAATCTTCTTATTTTCATCACCTACAGCAACCAACTCCCCAACCACCAAATACTTCTCTGAAAATCTCTCCTCCCATCCCCTAAGCGCGTCCATCTCCTCAGCTCCAAGCCCCTCCAAGGTATCCAACGGCGCTTGCAAATCCTTGGTCAACATCTCCTCATCAAAACTCCCACATGCAAGTCCCCTACTTGCATCTCTTCCAGCAAAGTTCTCGTATGGACCGCCAGGACCGTAGAAGTTGCGACCAGGAGAGACATCAAAAACCCTGCCGCGGACAGCGAGGTAGACAGGCTGGTTGTTGGTTCCGTTGTAGGGGAGGAGGGTGGGTGGTGTAAATCGGCGGAAGACAACGGGTGCAGGAGCGGGTGCGAGGTCAGGCGCTGGAGTGGAGCGGAAGGAGCGGTAGAGGATGTAGATGAAGAGGGAGAGGAATATGAGGTTTAGTGGTGTGGCAATGGTTTGTCTGTTTGGGGTATGTTAGTTTGGTGGGTTACTGAATTTGGAGGGGTGCCTATTTGGACAGATACGCACATTTCTGGGGATGGTGCCTTTGCAGCCTTCTCTGCCTCTTGGGCCATTCTATTTTCGACGTAGTCCATTGTTCTCTGTTGTTTGTGGAGGGCGTTGAGATGAGGTGTTGTGAGATAACAGGGTAGGTTGTATAGGTAGAGCAGTAGGGTGGTTTTGAGCGTTGAGATTACCCAATTCGGATATCTTGGAACTGTGCCACCAACGTTTAATTCAACTCGGCATTTGCGAATTGCAATCCTAGTTATATTTGTTCAATGACGAAGTATCTTAAAAATCATCCGAAATGATGTTGGGGTCCGACGGTCCGTAGATCCAGAAAGTGAATTGCTTCTCTTGGAAGCTTTATCAGCGAGGCGGGGGCGGCGGAGGACCTCGGACGGAGGATTCGGCAACACGTGACGTTGTTTATTTGCCTAAATCAATCTCTAAATCTACCTCTTAGTCTGTTTAACCCAGTGCCTTTTTGACATGCAAACTGTACCTATCTACATGTTAGTATCTAAAAGTGTATGGCGTATGTATGATATGAATGGAATCTCGCAATCACACCAGTCAGGTGATACAGATTCACAAGTTGAACTGTCTAGGTTGCCTCTCTATTAATCTCCTTCTAATGTCTAATAACGCCCTCTTGCGTATGTACCCCTTCCTTCAATGGACTGATTTCCCAATGGATTTCTACCAAAAGAGTATTATAACTTAGGCAATCGTTTCACTCTTTCCACAACAACAAACAGCGCTTCGCCAGTAGCATATGGCACACCCTCTCCATTCTCAATCGTTCCTTTTAGCCACAGTTTCTTCCCTTCCTTCTTTAATACCACTCCTCTAGCTAACACAATGCCTGGTGTTCGAACTGGCTTTTTGTAATCAACTTTTAGATAAGCTGTCATTGTAGCTTTGCCCTTTGGTGTCTCGGATTCGATGGCATAACCAAGAATCTCATCCATCAACACAGAAAGAAATCCCCCATGAGCAGTATTATGATGACCATCAATGTCCCCCCCAAGCCGGAAAAGGCAGATGGCCTCGGTGAACTCTTTCTTTGATCCGGGCTCTGGAAGTTTCTGGAATATCTGTTTGGCAATGATTGTGCTGTCGGTGGAGAGCGTTTTCCCCATTAATGTACTGGTCGTCTCACCAGTGAGAGCCTGTAGGGTGTGATCTTGGAAAAGCTTTGTACACCATGGTTCCGAGTTGAAATGTGCTTGAATTTCTTGGGGTACTTGAGCAAGAGGAAAGCGATTCTTCAGAGGCATCTTGCTCCCCTGGGTTGATTGTAAAGTTTGAAGGTTCAAGATGACCCGACAAAACTTTGGTGTCCTTGATCTACACAACCTCGGCTCAGTCGCAGATAGCCAATGATAGGGGTTAGGGGTTAGTAGTCAGTGCGTCTTTGCTTTGCGCTATCGCTTATGATGTCCCGTGAAGTGGAGACGAGATCTTCAGGGACCAGTTTGGTTGCATCTTCGCATCGCATCGTACGAGTATGCATATCATATTATGCGAATAGCTTCAGTAGCCGAGTTCTCAAATATGTTGAAGTGTAGTACTGGGTATTCTTACCGATTGCTGACATCATGACATGCTCATCAACATACGAATACGGCCCATATTCCACCTTTGAAGCGGAGTTTATTACGATGGATGGAAGCTTAATCTCCCATTCATTGCCCCGCGTTACGAGTATATGAAACATCATTAGGACTGGTACCAACGGCACGGGAGAGCGCCACAGGTGTTTCTGACTCTTCATCGCCCCCAATAATTTCCGGATGGCATGACTGTAGGATAGCTCCAGATGGACAAGAAAAGTGGTAGAGATACATCTTTTGACTATTAGCGTAAGCTGATTCTAAGTATTAAAATGTCCTATCATTTCAGATTTATCATTTTGATTTGTCCAAATAAATAACCTAATGGAATAGTTTTTAGTTGAGCTACGATAAAAGAACTCTCTGCCACTTTTCTTGTCCACTGGGAGTCCTTTTTTGAACTATTAGCGTAAGTTAATCCTAAATACTAAAATGTTTAGAATATCTAGAACAATTACTTTTATTATTGTGCTATCGTTTTCGATAAATCACTTTAATTGTTCTAAAATGGCGGGAAAAAAGAAAAGGAGAGGCACCTGCAACTCAGATTTCGCTAACATCAGCCTCTTTCTACTTCATTGGATGACAGGCTTGCGATGAAGCATTTATTGAAACATACCAATCATTGGGACTAAATCAGAATACTACTCGTACATAACTCTGCATACTAAAACAGGTACAAATACACATTCACGCGTGCAACAAATCTTTTTTGGACTTGAACCATTCATTCCCTTCAACCAACCGTTGCCATTCGTTCCCCAATTACTTTCTCCTTTCACCTGCAGCAGAGCTGCAACTTCATACATTCTTATTATTCTACTACTGTAGTACCTTTGATAGGCAACACCAACACCACCTTCTAAAATCCTACGAGCACAGCCTCCTTCATCTTGAATCCTTCGCGACCAGAGCAAACAAGTATACTTGTACGAAGCCAAACGAGCACTCGCCAACACCAACTAGAACCAGTGCGATTCGGCCACGTCAAGAGACATCGACCATCCGTCCAGATTCCGGATCCTGAGTTGACCTCTGATCCTGTCCGCGATCGTCAACTATTTTCAACTCCCTTCGCGAACTCCTCACCTGTGCCCTTCCGAACCTACGCCTACGCCTACGGGTTTGCATGAAACTGCCTACCTTGGCGATCACCATCCCTTTGAACGAGTGCGGAACAAACCATGTGGAAGAGGCTGAACAATTCCAAGGGCACCCGCCAGCCAACGTATCCCGACGAGAGGGCCGAGTACAAGTACCATGAAAAGACCTACACACCCACAGGAGGATCCTCGCACTCGCACGGCGTAGGGCTGGGGATCGGAGTACAAAGCCCTCCTCAATCCCCTCCAACGCGCCCACCGAGAGAGGACATGGGAATGGAAGCCAAGGGTCTACCGCGATTGCCATTGTAAGTAGAGATACCAAGTACCCTGTGCACACTTCCCATAATGCAGTTGCTGCCGTCCTGGCACCTGCCACGTCCACTTCTCTGGGCTGTTTCCAAATTCAAAGTCTCAAAATGGGTACATCAAACAAAATAATCTCCACTCAATCTATTCCCGATATGCCGATATCGAGACCTCCTCACTAATACAAAGACAGCGAGCTTGCCCCTCCTCCGCATCGCAGTTCCAAATACCGACCCGCCTCGTCGATTTACTCTCAACCTTCACCAGCACCGATCGTTACCAGATTTCCGTCAGAGATTTATGATATTCCGGCTTCTCCATACTCAACCAGCGAGGTCTCTCCCCCAAGTTCACCGGAATTTGAAGTTCGGCAAAGGTACGTCTGGATCTCTTAGGACAATTTGGATGCACTGTAGATAGCAGTACACTAACTTTCAAGCAGAACCTATACTCAACACATAGACGACGAAGTCTCTCCCATCGACGAAATGCCAGATGTCGCGAAGCTTGGGGCTACTCCAGCGGAAAGTAATCAGGAGCAGCCGGAATCTAATAGCATTCCTACACTTCGGAGAGAAAAGAGACGCAATCAAGTAGCAATAACAGCAGCGAATTTGATGAACAGAAAGGAAATCGTTGGTCAGAGACCAGCCAAGAACCCAAGCTGGGATCCATATTCTGGAGAACCAACTACTAGCGAGAGAGGGAAGAAGCAAACCACGAAACCCGGAGAATTCACGCCGCCAGGACTTCGTTCGACCGGTGCTGCACTTGGAAATACTTCGAAAGTAACCAGTAACTCTGCTATCAAGAAGCCCGTTTCTTTCGGTGAACGGGTACGGAATTTAAAAATCAGCAGTCCGTCGGAGCCAAAGCCAGAATGGAAAGGAGCAAGTGGCCGAGTGACACTTGTTACCACTCCAGCGGACAGATTAGATATCCCTCCTATTAGTTTACCTCGGAAGGATACGAAGCCTCTGAACCAGAACCAGACTAAATCCTCCAATGTCGGGTCAAATGCACCTGTCTCACCTGCACAGAGGTCTCGAGTCGTCGCTGAAACAGGTACTGCTTCAACCCACGGTGATATCTCAACACGCTCGGATACTCAAAGTTCTTCGAGAGTCAAACCCTCACCCAAATTTGACTCTAAAAATTCAGATGAATTGAACGAGAGCCCCGTCCGGGAAAATATACCACGAAAAAAAGCAAATACCAGTAGCCCTCGGGAAGAGAGCAATCCTAAAAGTGGGTATAAGAACACCGAGCCGACTCCTCCTCCCGCGCCTTATGTTCAGCCCCCTTCCCGCTTCAGCACATCGACATACGCCACGTCAGAAGCACGCAGTACGCCTCGTCCGTCGACAGATACATTCGAGCCCATCAGCGAGTCGCAACCTCCAATACCACCAATGCCATCGATGCCCTCACCTCCCCAAACTTTCTCGGCTCAGCCAGATTCTGTTCTTGAACGGGCTAGACCGAAAATTGGAACAGTTGGTAGAGCTCATGTTCCTCGGAAAGCGCTCAACACTGCGTCGCCTGTGTTTATCAGCATGCAGGAAAAGCGTGCTTCACAGATGTCCAAGTCACTTCCCGTTACCCCAGCCGAGAGGGAATCACACGACCTTGTAACAGCACTACAAGCTCAGCTTGACGACCTTCAGCACAGACGAAATAATATCACAAATAGCATTCGACAAATGACAGAACTAATGCCAGCGGACAACATCACCCTTACGACTGAAGTGCGCAGAAAGCGCGGGATTGAAAAACGCAAGGTGGAGGGGCTGAGAGAGGAAGAAGCGGACGTTCGACAACAGGAACACGAGATTGGACTCCGTCTACATCGAGCATGGAAGCGTAGAGATAAAGAAGCTACCTATGAGCCGACTGGACTTTGGGTTCGGAGAGTTACGGGATAAGGATATCAGATTTTATTTGCACATTGCCTAATTCCGTTAATATAGTTTTACTTTGTGCTATCTTTTGTACATTGGTTATTTGGAATGGCATGGGAAGGCTATTCACATATTATCAATGGGGGACCTATTGGTTTGGAGTTGGTTGGATTAATCTGGGAATCTGAATACGAGGGATGGGCTAGGAAGGAAGGGTGTATCTGGGAGGGTGTAAGTTGTAGAAGGGGTAGATTAGGTTAGGCTTGTATGAGTATGCCGAGAGGTGTTGGGGTTTATTGAGCGATTTGGATGTTTGGTGTGCTTGGGTTTCGGTGGCTAAGGTGCTAGGACAGATGAATACTACGACGTAAGCTTTTTTAAATCCCGTTAGTATCTCTGTTGTGTGCATTTTGACTGTGGTCCGTCCTCGTTACATAAACTCCATCAGCTATCTCTTTCAAGTCTCCTTCCTCTCCATCTCCTTCTGGGACGTCAAGTCTAGCCTGATAATATAGGTATGTATATCATTTGTTTAGAACAATTACAATGATTTATTGAAAACGATAGTACAATAAAGGGAATTATTCTAGATATTTGAAATATTTTAGTACCTTGAACTTACGCCAAAAGTAGAAAATGAATCTCTGCCACTTTTCTTGCGCACCAGGAGCTGCCTTACAAGTTGCGACGGCAGAGCTCAGTCGTGCCTTCCTCTTCCTTGGACACAGCCTGAATCTGTTCTCTCTATTCATATTCCTGCAAGCTCTCTCAACTTCGTAATCGACCTCTAATGCCTTGCTTACGACGCAACCACAAGGCTGCACCGCCTGGCCTATGCTCTTGAAACAACGGTTTGTTAACTTGGAAGTTGGGGGGTCAATCAATCCTACGAAACCGTTTGAATAATGGGCGTGTTTAGTAAGGGCCTGTGGATTTGCGGAAACCACGGAGTGTGTCGGGATGATGTTTCTGTATTAGAGTACTCAGAATATGATTCTCTTGAAAGGTTTGATCAGGTCTATGGTTGGGTAAACAGAGTATAACCATTTGGCGACTGCTGTTGTGTTGTTGTTTCACCTAGATATGTCTCTAATGGAAGTGACCTAGGTGGTCATGACTCCGGACACACTAGTACTATGACTCTATGAGGAAGATTTATGAATTTTCACTTAACTTTTGTCTAGTATGAGTACCTCATTTATCCTAGTATACGTCTATAATGGAAAATGAGAAGTGCCAATTATCCCAAATGAACCGTTTAACCAATTCAATCGTGAATGACTTATGGGGGTTTCCAGAGTACTACTCGAGTAACAAGGTCTCTTAACCAGCGTTGCTAGAAGACTAGACA